ATGAGTGCACACATGAGACACATTAGTGACTGAATATTGTGTTAACTTATACTTTAGGCAAAAAGGGAGCCAAGTTTGGAGCTGCCGGTGCGGCCGGTTTCAAAAAGGGAGCTAAAGGTTTGAGAGTCCAATCGTTTGAATGTATACTAATTTGAAATGATATTGCAATTAACAGCCGGTAAGAAGGGAGCGGCGGCTGTCGGTGGAGCCAAAGGTGTTAAGAAGGGATTCGCTGCGGGAAAGGTCGCCGGGAAGAAAGGAGGAGCCGTTGGCGCTAAAGCTGTGGCCAAAAAGGCATTTGCAAAGGCGGGCAAAGGAATCGGACGTTAATCTTAGCCAAACTCTACACAATTGCTTGAATCTTACAAATTATCAACTTATTATTATATTAATTATTAGCTATGATTTGTTTTATTTTATTGCTTTATTGTTTGAAATTAAGCCAAAGTTTAAAACTTTGTAATTATTAAATTAAGCATATAATCAAATAATTGCATCATTTCACACTTATTATAGATTCCCTGTATTAAGAAATCTTTAAATAAAATGTGATTCAAATTAATAATTTAAAAACTTGTCTTTATTCATTATTATTACAGTATTGGTAACTATTATTATTTTATTTCATTAATATACGACTCAAAAACCTATTGATTGAAATATTTTATATTAAAATATAAAATATTACTTATATTTATGATATAATACAGCATTAACTTTTACTAATATAAATGGCGACTTTATGCCTATTTTTTAAATTTTAACTTGAAATCTTTTTCAAAATGTATTAAATTGATTTATCCAAATAATAAATGATTACAAGTGTTTTAAGAATATTGAAAAATTAATTTAATAATGAAACGTACAGGTATTAATAAATCAAATGCTATCAGGACAAATCAAAAATCTGGTTATAACAAACATATTATACAGTACTTTGTATACATGTAAATTTATACTCTGCAAATATTACGTAGTCATTAGATACTGTATAATTAATGATTTGAATATTTTAGTTAGTTTGAATCAAACTGCTATTTAGCATTGGATAATTTATATAATTAATTTGGCATTGAAATTGGCTACAATTAATACTTATTTAGTTTTTAAAAAATATTTAAGTATTAATTGTAGCCAATTATTACAACATTTTCACCAGTAATCTGCTTATATTTGGTATATAATCTATTTGGTATAAACAGTAAAATTAGTGAATACAAACAATGGTATAAAAGCAATAAAATAGTTGCAAAAATATCAATTATTATTTGCATTTTAACAGGATCTTCCACACTTTACTTCAAATGAAATTTTTATAAACACTTAAATATTTTTAAAAAACTCACTAAATGTTTATAACACTTTGATTTGAAATAAAACGTGGAAGATCCTGTTAAAATGCAAATAATAATTGATATTTTTGCAACTATTTTATTGCTTTTATACCATTGTTTGTATTCACTAATTTTACTGTTTATACCAAATAGATTAAGATATAAGCAGATTACTGGTGAAAATGTTGTAATAACAGGCGCTGGACGCGGATTAGGTCAGCTACTGGCCCTTAGATTTGCCAAATTTGGTGCAAATGTTGTTATTATGGATATTGAAGAATCACTTGTAAAGAAAACTAAGGATTTCATTGAGAAAGAGTTTGCATGTGTCGTGAAGACGTATGTCTGCGATATAACGGACAGTGAAATGGTTATGAAAACGGCTCAACAAATTGGCAAAGAGGTCGGGTTTGTCTCAATTTTGGTCAATAATGCGGGCGTTTTGTACGGAAAGAGTATTCTTGAATTAAGTGACAAGAATATAATGAATACGTTTAATGTGAACGCTATCAGCAATTTCTGGACAATTAGGGCTTTTTTGCCAAATATGTTAATCAAAAATAAAGGACATATCGTAACGGTTGCGTCGATTTGCGGTAAAACAGGTTTCGTTCAAATGACTGATTACTGCGCTTCAAAGCACGCCGTCATTGGACTCAACGAAAGCCTTAATTATGAGCTTTTGAAGCACGACAACAACCAAATCAAAACCACTATAGTTTTGCCCACATTTTTCAATACAACTCTTATAAATGGTGTGAAACCGAGTTCAGTCATCAAGATATTTGATGCCAACCGAGTGGCCGATCTTACCATCGATGCCATACTTACTGATCAACCCATGATTATAATCCCAAGTTATTTACACTTTTATTTCTTACTCAAAGATATCCTTCCAAATGAAATCTCAAACAGAATTTTCCAAATTATTGGAGGCTTTCATGTAATGAATGAGTTTAAAGGCAATAAATAAAATCATATTTGGAAAGTAACTTGACTTGAGTTTTATTATTTCCTATGATTTTTTCATTTAAGTTTTTCTAATTTATAAATCATATGAATGAAGAATCCTAAGTATGGGTGCGTTTATATATTTTCCAACGTCTATCGCAAATATAAAGTCTCCGTGAGTCCATTGTCTGTATGGGACCACATGTCTCTGTATTGGCACTACATTGGTAATTCATAATTTAAGGGTTAAATTTGTTAATTTAGTGTTGAATAATAAGATAATAAGTAGACCTCTTAATTGATTAACTAGTATATCTACATCAGTGGGGTCTGCGATCCAATCATTCATACCACTCATAATTACAATATGTTTTGAATCAATAGCTTTAATGTCATAATTTGGTGCCATTTGTTGTCCATAAACTCTTAGATTAGTTTGTGAATTGTTATGAGAATAATACGAAAAATTTTGATTCATTATTCTCTGAACGACATGCGATACGGCTATTGTTGAGCTACTATCAGGAAAGTGTGCAAATAATCTGGGAGTTTGAGTCTGAAAGTAAACTAATTAATAAATAGAGAAAATATAACAAAATAAAAATTACTCGATTTAATTGTTGATAATCAAATCCTCCAAATAAAAAGCCAAAAACAACACAAATCTCTTTAAACATAGAAAATCCACAGAAATATCTACCAAACAGTGGTGAAAGTGAACCAAATCTTGCCAATGGTTTAGGATCTGAACTAAATTTATTTGATATATAAATTATTCAAACATTTTTATATTAAAACATTTTGAGTTCACTTATAATTTTACTTAAGAATAGGTTCGATAGATATTGGAATTCTTAAAAGTGGAGATATAATATGTCCGATGTATACAAATGGACCTAGAGCTATAAAAGGTTTAATTATGTTTGAATAATTTGGTTTTGTTGATAACAATTGAAACATGATTGTTGTCCCCAACGAGTATCCAATATAACCAATGGTCTCTAAAATAATAAAAATTTAGACTACTTTTGTAAAAATTCTTGTATTCTAGTATATTATAAACAACTTAATACCACTATTTGTTACTCTTAAGACATGATCAATAGCTGAAATGATATCATATCTTGTGAACTCATCCATTGAAAAAGTCCAAAATTTTGCATCTATATAATTAGAGTTTGTAATATTTAATTGATTAGAAAATGTACAATCTATAAAAATATATTTAGTTTACCATTATTTGGATCCAAAGAAATATGAGACGAATACCTGTTTCCTCTGATATTTCCCAACCAGACGTCATAACCACACGAAGACAATACAAACGGCAATGTATTGGCCACTGAATGAGAACTAAAACAGTTATTTACTATAGAATTATCTTCACTGTAGACCCCGTTGCCATCGATGGCACCGATACTATTCAATAGCCAGTTATCGGAGTTTTGAAAAAATCCGTGCTGGATATAAATGGGGTAATGTTTTGCAGATCTGTTCACAAATGGGTTTATGAGTCGAAATATTGTAATAATATATCCATCTTCTGTTATGATGTCATAACTTTCAGATAGAAAACCTCGGGATTCGATGAGTTCACTCTTCAATCAGATTTTCAAGTCATTTAATAATTTATAATTACATATCATTTATAAATATTTTATACCGAATTCCTGTCAATATCTGGATCAGAACTAAAATATTCAAAACAATTTACGATTAAACTTGAAATCATTATAAAATAGATATTTGCAGAAAATGGTTTCATTTTCTTATTGAGTTACTAGTTTTATATTAACGAATACTAAATATATCTAATAATAAGTATAATTTTCAATAATGAATCTAATCTATTTTTATTTACCCTTATGTGTTAATATAAATTTTTAGTTTTTAAATTATTCTAAAAGTTTAATCACATTATATCGATTAAAATTAGATTTTATTATTTTTAAAATTGATTTATTTATATTTAAATTATCCATTAATTAACTTAGCTATCAATTTTTTATTGAATTTACTATGGTATGATGAACAAATTAAATTAATTTAAAGAAAATAAATTTAAAGATTGTAAAATTCTAAGAATAGGTGCGTTTACGTAATGACCAACACTATTGCCATACAGAAAATCTCCATGTGTCCAATCCTTGTATGGAATTACATAATCAGCGTAGAGATCCACTATACAAATAATTAAAATTATTAGATATTTAAAATATTGCTAGTATTACCTCTTAATTGACTTCTAAGCATATCATCATCTGTTGAGTCCGACAGAAAGTCATTCAAACCAGACATTAAGACAATATAATTAGAGTTAATGTTTGAAAGATTATAACTCGGGGGTTCTTTCTGGCCAATTTAAAGTTTCAAGAATAATTTAGGTATTAATATTATTAATTTACATAACATTACTTATGCAACAGGATACACACGCTAATGGTTCCTACTCCGTGACAGACCTTTCACTCGGGTTTCAGAACCCTTAAAAGCCTACATTCTTATCAATTAATTGTTTGTTTTAGACATTTATACAATATTTACTATATTGAGATTTGCTAGATCAAATCCTCCGACCAGAAAATATATGAGGGCACAGATACTCTTTAATACTGAATTCCCACAGATATATCTGCCAATTAATGGTTGAAATTTTCCAAAACCTCCAGACCTTTTTGGTAGAAAGCTGATAAAAATAATAATTGTTTTAGTGAAAATTTTTAAAAATTTATATTAATTTTTTACCTAAAAATAGGTTCAAATACATCGGTGTCAGAATCTTCCCCTCTGGAATATAAAGGATTTATATGTTTTGACCGATTTCTATACTTACCAAAATATTAAACACTTATTACACCAACACTACGGTCGTTGACTTTGTAATACCATAACGGGTTAGAAAAGCCAATAAAACCAATTGTTTCTTTATATAAATGTTTTTATCAATCAAATCATAAGTTAGTTAACATTTTACATATATTTAAAGTTTATTTCTCACCCGATTGTGTTGTAGTGATAATGTATTGAATAATAGCAGTCAAATCATAGTTACTGTAGTGATCCAAACTGAAGGTCCAGTACCGGTTGTCTATTTTACAATACAGTAGTTTTATAAACAAATAATTATAAAGGTTATAGAGGTTTGAATAGTTTGGACAATGGACCTGTTCTTTGATCTAAGAGTATATGCGATGAATATTCATTTCCTCTCAGATTGGCTACCCATACGTCATAACCACAAGAAGATAATACAAACGGCAGAGTTTGTGCCACAGAATCAATTGAAAGACAGTCATTGATCACTCCATTATCCTCAACATAAGTGCCATTAACTGTAAGAAATCCATGCCTTGCAACAAACCATTGGTCTGAATTGCCAACCAATCCGTTTTGCAATACAACTGGATATAAGTGGGAATTGTTTTTGAAATTGGGATTAATTATACGAAATAATGTTAGGATATATCCATCTTTAGTGATCACTTCGTGTGTCTGTGATATGAATCCTCGCGATTCTATGAGTTGTGTCTAAAAGTGTTGACATATTTATTCATTAATCAAATGTTTTTACAATTATTTACCGAATTGCGGTCAATATCAGGATCTAAACTGAAAAGTTCAAAACAATCGATAAAACACACAAACTTACAAAATTACTATTACAAATAATATTAATTTTAGAATCTATAGTAAAATCTAACTTAATTAAAAAACTATCAAAATATTGAATAAAAATCCAAGTATATGGTTTTCGGGGATAAGGGTAAGAGATAATAATTTTTGTAAATTACAATTACTTTTACTTTTAATTTTTACAAATATAATATATGAAACCACTATACAGAATAATTTTTAATTTGTATGTATTAAATAAAATAAATATTTTATATATTTTATAAAATTAACATTGAATTGGACTTGCATTGAACTGCATTAAACAGGAAAAATGATCATGTCATTTTAATTTAATTTAAACAAACAAGATTAGGTTAATTTATTGGCTAAATATAAATATAAGATAACATTAAAAATATTTTATTAAGTAAAATATTCCTCATTATTTGTACATGCTACATTTATTTATTAGATTCTGCACAGAATATTCTGTTGTCAATACAAAATCAATGCAAGTGTAGAGTACGTGCATAGCATTGACAACACATGACGTCATATGTGGTGTAAGTAATGTAAACAAACACTAACTGCTCATCCATTGCAAGCAAACAGTGATTGGAAATGAGTTTATTTAAGCCGTACTTAACATAAACACTGATATATTGAATGTCTAAACAAAGCATACAATGAATGGCTAATAGACTACTCATACAGACAATGAGCTCTCATTGAAGCCAATCGACAGCCAATTGAAAGCAATGTTTGCAATCATTTCATATAAAAGTCACCGAAACTTCAATTCATTGACAATTCATTGATTATGAAACCAATTATGCATTCATTTTAACATCACTTTCACATCAGTTGTCATTTGTCTGGCGTAATGGACGTCAACTCTGCACTATCACTGTTGGGATCAATTGGATGGTATCAGACATATGTGTATCTGTTATCATGTGTTCCGGTGATCAACGCCGGGATTGTCATGTTGTCACTGGTCTTCCTGTCTGCCACTCCTCATCACAGGTACCACTCATTTATCATACCATATGTCCATCACTTGTGTCCATCATTTCAGATGTTTTGTTCCCAACTGTGATCCCAATGGACTGAACGCCAACTTCTTTGACACGTTTTTGTCTCAATCCATACCAAAAGTCTTCGGTTCTGTTGTGTCCTATGAATCGTGTAATCGTTTTAAACAAATCAATGACTCAATCATTAGAAGTGATGCCAAAGATGTTTGTGATATAAACCGGTTTACAAACCAAACAGAAAGTTGTGATCACTTTGTCTTTGATAGAAAGCAGTTCCAGTCCACTGTTGTCACTGAGGTTCACACCTTTTACTCACTTTTGCCATAAAGTTATCTAATGAATGAATGATTACTATTTATCAAATTATTTCAAACACTGTTTAGTACCCTTTACAGCAATACAGTCAGGTAGAAGATAAACCCTCAGGAAAGGCCACGAAAGTAAAAGCCACATAATCGCCTAGCCATACACAGCCGTTATGATTTGTTACAGTTTTTCATTCATGTCTTAACCAATAGCTATGGGCGTCGGTCTGTGTTTATGGCGGCGCCTATTCTCGGCTTTTCGAGTGCAGTGTTGTCGTCATTTGCGCCCAACTTCTTAATATTCTGCAGCAGTTCTGCGGTGACGGCCGCCTGTATTGCAGGCATGTATCAGACGGCCTTCATTATAGGTATGGCCTCTAAATGTCTTTATATTTGATATACAGTATACTTGATATGTGTGAACAGGTATTGAGTTCATTGGTGGCCAGTGGCGAGTCTGGTGCGGAAACATACATTCAATTCTGTTCGCTGTGGGCGCCGCCGTCCTATGCCTTATGGCTTATTATGTGCGCGATTGGAGACAATTGCAGTTTGTTATCGCACTTCCAGTAGCGTTCACTCTCTCCTATCCCTGGTATGTCACCACATATTCATTCATATTATCAGTCATTCATTTCACAGATTATGTATTTGTATTGATGTTAAGGCTGTTCCCTGAGTCGGTTCGTTGGCAGGTCTCCAATGGACAGACATCTAAAGCAATTAAGACAATCAAAAGAGCTGCCAAATGGAACAGAGTTTACATTCCAGAGGAATATCTGTACACTAGTGAAGACGTGAGTGATTATCTGTTTATTTAATCATTCTCTCAATTATCTTGTTTTTGTGTACTTTT